AGAGCAACACGTAAAAATTGTAAGTGGATGAATAGAAAACTGTACTACTGAATTGGCCTTGAACTATTTAGTGTGTGATCTACACTAAGGTATGTAGGTATTGAATATGTCTCATAGAATTTCTTAACACCAGTGACTCTTTTTAATATATATTTAATAATTTTTATTTTACTAATCTTTTTGGTAACAGTTCTTTTTCTATTACTCAATTTAAACTTTTCAAAAATTTTGTAACTGATCATTGTCTTGTGAAGCAAATGCTGGTTAAGAGCTCAGATTCCAGAGTCAGACAACTCTGAGTTCAATATCATTTCATCAATTACTATCTGTAAAAAAATGGAGCAAAATTTCTTTTTTCCTTCTCTGTAAAATGGTGATAGCTATTTCCTATCTGACAAATTGCTGTTTAGGCTAAAATATTTAAAAGTGCAAAATACATCCCCTTTTCCTGAATGACAACTACCATAAGCCTACCATAAACCTACTCAAATCTGAGTCATTTCACATCTTTCTTTCTTTTCTTCCTCATACCTACCATTGTAAATCTTGTCAACTCCTGTTCCTCAACTCCCATCATCCACACTCATACATCCTCATCATCACCCCCCTGTCCTACTTTTATCAATAATTTCCAAATCTGCCTTCCTCCACCTTTGCCCCTCTAATTCATTCTCCAGGAGAGTAACATTTTCAAAACATAAAATAAAACATGTCAGTAAAGAAAAAAAACTTTAACAAAATTAAAAAAAAAACATTTGAAATAAGAGAAAGTACATAAGTGGTGCTATGCTTGTGGCTCAGTGGTAGAGCACTTGCCTAGCATGTGTGAGGCACTGGGTTTGATCCTGAGCACCACATAAAAATTAATAAAATTCAGATCCCTTGATAATTAAAAAGTATTTTTTTTTTAAAAAAGAAGTACATAAGTAATGAGACTCTCAAACCTCTACCAATTGTGACAATTACAATATAGTCAGATATAATTATGTTGATTCAAGTATCATGGATGACATCTCAATTGCATAATTTTCCAAAATGATGATCAGCACCTGGTAAAGTTCCAGACATTAACAGGGCAATTATTAATTAATTAGGTTATTACATTGTTAGAAAAAAATTAATGTATATTTAAACTGAAAAATCATCTGTTTACATATAAAATTAAATCAAATTTAAATTCAGATAATTGTAAATAAATTTTTATCTACATGTGCAAGGATAATTTCTTATTGTACAGAAATGTCCCTTCATTGTAGGATACGAAATGCCAACATCATTTTCATAATTTTAATAAAAAAAAATGCCCTCCTTTGAAGCAAAAAAAAAAAAACCAAAACATGTCGGTAAACAGTGTGGGACCTCGTGGATAGGGTTCTCCACTACTTCTAGAACAAAATACACTCCATAGTAAAGTCTCTAAAGAGGTCATCTGACTTTCAGTACCTTTCCAGTTTCAGGGACTGTTTTCTTCCATTCCATCTCCAAACCCCCTTCAGTCATACTTAACTGTCTGCTGGTTTCAAAATTTACTGAGCCATTTCGCAGTTCCACACCTGTCCTCAAGTTTATCTCAAAATTTTCTGTAATTCAGCCCAAGACATGTTCTTTGTGAATTATTTCCCTATCTTCTGTCTTCTCCTCCCTACCCAAGGCAGGATTGACTTCTCTCACTTCTGTTCCCACTGTAGCCTAGACAAACGTATGTCTGTATGGTAGCACCTGGCATCTTTGTGTGTGTATTCCCTGATGTTGAACTCTAAGGATTGTATCATCTTTAACAAAGAGTCTGGTAGCCATATCTTGGAATCATCTAAAATCTGACTTCTTAAGAAATTTTATTATCCTGGGAAAAGACATTAATACTACTGTTCTAAAATGCTATGATTTCAAAATCAGAGTCGAAAAGGTCCTCCTACAACCTCTCCAGGAGGTCATCATATTAAATGGAATAAGCCAGGCACAGAAAGACAAATAGTGCATGATATTACTCAAGTGTGCAATATAAAATATGTTCATCTCATAGAAGTTGAGAGTGCAATGGTGGTCACCAGGGCCTGAGGAGAGTAGAAGATGAAGTGGGGAAAGGCTGATCAGTGGGTGCTAAGCTACAGTGAAATAGTGTCAAGAATTCTGGTGTGCATTGCAGAGTCGGGTGACTATAGATAACAATCATGTACTACGTATTTCAAAAAGCTAGAAGAAAGAATTCTGATATTTTTATTATAAAAATGATAAATGTTTCAGGAGATATATTTAATCTGATTTAAATACTACACAAAGCATACATATATTGAAACATCACATGGTACCCCATAAGCATGAACAATTTTTTATATTTTTGTGTCAGTCAAAAAATGCATTTTTAAAAATAAAGAATTCTGCCAAAATACATTCTACTGCTATGTATAATAACTAAAAATATTGTTTTAAAAAAAGTACATCTATTTCTACTGATCATTCGAAGTCATTTTTGGGAAATAAATGACATGGATTTCTATTGTAAAATAAGATTATGATACCCTAGAAATACTTTCAAGTCATTAACTGGAAAGACTTGTCTGTCACCAGTGTTTGCAGCAACCATATGATATCAGTAGACATAAACCATTCTACGTAGGCTCAAGAGGCTGAGGCATGAAGATTTGAAGTTCAAAGCCAGCCTCAGCAATGACCAGACGCTAAGCAACTCAAGTGAGACCCAGTCTCTAAATAAAATACAAAATAGGGGTGGGAAGGTAGCTCAGTGATCAAGTGCCCCTGAGTTCAATCCCCACCCAAGAAAAAAAAGAAACCCCCAAAATTGGCAAATTTGTATCTAGAAACAAGGTTTCAATGACTGTGTTTCTAATCATAGATAAGATTGATTTGCTAGCCCATGAGAGAATACTCTTAATAAGGAAGACCAACATAAAGCAACCAATTATAATCAAGTGTTAGGACAATGATTGGAAGGAGAGCACTTTATGAGAACTATCTTCTGTTCTTATATCACATGCTGCATTCAGATAGAAATGAAGACTTTTTAAATGAGCTTTTGCAACAGGCCCAGGTACTTGTCCACACTGGGAATAACCATGAAAGTCTTCATGTTATTGACAGAGCTACATGTAAAAGTATCTGGAGATGTTGTCTAGAACTTTAGATAAATTAATAAAAGTATTAACTAGCGTGATTGAATCCACTTTTTTTGTAAGGGCTATCTATTACTTTTGCTTTTCTATGTAACTAGCAAACATAATTTATGCAGCTGTGGGAGTTGTATCTGCCAGGGCCTCTACCCAAGGACAGGAAAGGGAGAGCAGTGTTAGCCAGTTAGGCTGAAGGGCCTGATGGCATTCTGGTCTTGCCTATATTTCTCTTCTAAAATCTTTTCTGAATTATTTTCTGCATTTCACTACCTTTTTTCTTTTTAGTATTTGTAGAATGTCCTGAGATTTTGCGAACTTGTTGAAATTTCATTTGTGTCACAATATGGCTAGAATAAGTTCTGGAAAATGGAGACAATTCAATTTATTAAGCTGAAGTTAGTGCCTCTTGCTTTTTGTATAAGAATTTCTCTTCTACAGTCTGAACCTTAAATTTCCTTTCGGGCAGAAAAGGTATGCTAGAGATTGTCTAGATATCTAAGACCACTAATTATTTATCCTACTTATGGCTACCATCATTTGGAAGTTTTTCCTACAAAGCTATTGGAAACCTAACATTGTTTAGGCCAAGTTCTTTGAAGGCGTTCACACATAGGTTCTTACAGTTATGAAAATTCTACAAGAAATTGAAAAGACGTATTTATAGAATGAAATTTTGGTTTATTAACTTGATGTTTCCCAAACTGTGGTTTGTAGACATATTCTTGTGTGTCCATAACAAACATTAAGAAAAAAGATCTGTGTATCATCAAATTGGGAATATTTATATATGCTACCCATGCTCCAAAAGGGGGAAACCTTGAGAGGGATCCTCTGTGCATTTCAGCCCTTTTCTTTCTCTCCCTTCTGATATTACTAGAGACAAAATGAAAGCCAGACCCCCTCTGCCAGAAAAAAAAATGTGCATCTCACAGATTCGGGAACCAAAAAACTTCAGGTATGGAACCACAGACGTCACACTAAAGGACACAGGTTTCCCAATCTAAAACAAAAGACTGAGTATTTCTTCTGGGCCCGTGAGCCAATAATTGTCTTCTCAGCAAGATGAGGTATGTTTGAGATATGTATGCTACCATGAATTTCAGCCTGCTCCCCTCTATGAAAGCATTTCCCCAAGTGTGAGCTGTGGAATTATGGTACAGGAAGATGTTCCATTTGGAAAATAATATATCATAGTCTATACATTAGATTAAGCCATAAAAATAGTCCTTAATTCAAAAAAAACAATATTCAAAAGCATTAATTAAAGTAATGCCTAAAACTATTTTCTTCTCCCCTTAAATACTTTTCTGCCCATAATCTGATGAACAGATTTGAACTTACATTGTTGCCAACAAATATAGCAGCAATTACAGTCAAAAAACCAAAACCAAACCGTTGAAGAAAATTAATCATTTACTTTGAATGAATCAGACACTAAGACAGCTTCCATAATTGTGTCTGACAGTACCAAATCATGTCTGAGATAAAACACTGCATGACACATAATCAAACAAATAATTTGCAAGAGTTGTGGGAGGGGAGAGAACAAATGCTCCCCAGCTCTCTTGTACGTCATGGGAGCACATGACAAAGAGTGTTAAAGAGGTACAATAGGCTACTGGTACTGAGATCATTTTAGACCATCTTATCACTGGAATACTACAGAACACCATCGTCTATTTATCACATAGTAAGAAGGATTCTATGCTAATAGGATTTGTTTGTATTTGTTCTATTTTATTATTATTTGACTAACATCCTCTGTTAGAAACAATATTTAGCCCATTTATCCTCAATATAGAAAGCTTTTACCACATGAACAAAATCAATTTGTTCTGTTTGAAGGACAGAGTAATTTGATTAACTACAAAGTACTATAATGCAAAGTTTATTCCCATTTCATCAATCTAATATAAGCAGAAATGAAATGTAGTCAACAAGTAAAATATGCACAACAACCAGGCCTTTTTATACTAGCCTTCAAATGTATGTACATACAGATAGATATCATACATATAATGGTATACATATAATTTTGCAGAATATCCACAGCATTCAACATTTTTCTTCATTGTCAATTTTTTTTATTAAGTGTTTTACCATTTGATAAACAAATTTTATCCTCATTTCCAGGATCCTAAGTAACTGTACATGTTTAACCCAGTAATAACAATTTAGGTACCTAGTACACAAGATCAAAAATAAGAAGTCGTTGCTGGTAGTAGCTCAAAACAAGTACTTTGGTCCAATAAATAACATTATGAAAATGTTTTCAACTTTAATTTCAACTACAGTACAGAAAATGTTTTGTTTTTTTTCTAGAACATAATTCATATAATCCATATCCATAAGATATTTTTGACATTCATGATGTATTTTTCATATCCTAATTTGCATCCATATACATTCCAGATCAGACTAGGTGAAGAGTGAAAACAGACAGTAGAATATTTGCAATTTATCTGAAGAACACAAATGTGTAGGGTTTTTTTTTACACTGAATGTATTAAGTTATGAATAATGCAGTATTATCTGACAAGAATTCTCATAAATAACTACTTTTAAATTTCCCAGCTTGCATTCTACCAAAATTATTTTTCATATTTAGACCTCACAGCTTATCAACGCTGACAAATATGCAATGTCAAAATAAATCTTTTATAAACACATTGTATGAACACATAAATAATTCTATAAAATATTAATTTATCTTTTTGCCTCTTATTTAAAGACTGTAATACTATATGAACTTACTTTCCCTATACTTATGGAAGCATATGACTACAGATTTTTGAAAAATTCTAAAAACCCTGAGTACATAAGGATAGTGTCCTAAGTAAACAATCTTCTCAAGCCTTCCTTAGGTGCATTAGATTCACAGATTAGGAAAGAGTGAAAAGTAGACATGTTTTTAAGGATTTTTTCTCTTTTGCTCATATTCCCTGACTTGAGGCATCCAGTTGAGAGGGACTGCCATTTCTGTAACAGAAGCCAATAAAGGGAAATAGTGTAAAAGAACTAAAGACATTAAAATTAGTCTTAAATTTATAAATTGATAAAATCAAATAGAAATTCCAGCCATTATTATTAAAAGGAAATAAATAAAAATGACACTATGTCTGAGATGCTCCCTCAACAGCATCATTGCCATTTTAAGAAACCCTCCTTAAACATGCTAACATTTTTAGTGCCTGAAGATTTTAATATCACCTCTTTATAATTATTACATACCTTAAAGTTCCAGTGAATTGGAACTCAGAATTCTACTCATTTCTTACTCACCAAAATGACATATTAGTTTTTAAAAATATATGTCATCACCAGCTCTAACTAAGCTACATAAAGTAGCACAGGAAGAAGTAGGTGTGTATGTAGAGTGTAAAAATTACAACGTGGATGGGAAAAGCGAAAGAGAATGAGAAAGCGAGCTATACTTCTCATTGCCCCAAACAAGACTTCCATACAGACAACCTGCTGGGGCTTATGATTCACGTTACTCCCATGTCCCTTTAGTATTGATAACTTACGGTTATCACTACACAGACACATGACAATTTGACATAACCATACAAAATATTGCTTTTATAAAATGTACATGTTAGTCCCCTCCAAAGCTCACATTGAAATTGCCATTGTGGGAATGTTAAGATGTGGGACTTCTAAGAGTTCTTAGCCTAAGAGGGTGTGCTCCACTTTCTGAATAAGATTGATGATGGTATAGATCAGCTTGTTTTTGCCACATGCTTATGTAGCAGTTAGCAGTAAGACCCTGGCTAGTTGTGAGCACCTTGATATGTTTCCCAGGCTCTGTAAATGTGAGCCAATACACTTCAGCTCATTGTAAATTACCCAGTCTGGGGTATTCGGTTACAGCAGCACAGAATGAAGTAAGATATGTCCTGTGGCTAAGTTCTAAAACTGCCTTACTATTTCTAGTAAGTTACTATGGGCCCATCTTTTCTAGAAAAAGGAAGGGAAGAAACAGTTATTCTTCTTTAAAAAAAAAAAAAAAAAAAACTAGCTTAGGTAGCCATTTTACAGTTGGAGTCTTCATGCTCCTCTAACAAAATCCAAACTCTGGGTAATTTATAAGCAATAGAAATTCAGTTTTCAGTTCTGGAAGCAGGGAGGCCAACATGAAGATAACAGCCTCTTTGGTGTCTGGTGAGGCCTGCTCTGCTTCCAAGGTGGTGTCTCATTGCCCCATCCTTGCCAGGGAAGAACATGGGGTCCTCACACAGTGGGAGAAATGGAAGAGCACAAGAGAACTAAGGCAGCCCTCAATCCTCCAGCCTTTTATAAGGCACTAATCCACTAATGAATGAAGCCTTCATGATACAATAGCATCCCCAAAGGTCTCATCTCTTAACACTCCTACGATGGGCATTAAGCTTAAACACATGCATTTTGGGAGGAAAACAATAAAATCATAGTAGTTGGATTCTTCTTTTTAAACTCCAAAGACAAATGTAGTTGACAAAAGAGGACCAAAGATACAAATCCCCCCACCCACTGTGGTTTAAGTTTTTTTTTTTTTTGCTGCCACAAACCCCACATCTCTACTACTAGCCAAACAGAACTCAATGAAGTTCCAGAATGAATGGGCACAAAGTTGAAGAAATTTATTTATCCTAAAATATTTGCAAACTAAGAACAAATTCAGGAGATAAAGTATAAGAATGTTATCTTTAACAAACTACTCAGGTATTTCTAGGTACCTCAAAGTTGCAAAAGCCCTGAATCAACTACAGGAAGAGAGGCATATTGGGCCTAAGTGGCTAAAGGTACCAAACTAAATGAAAACATGGGTTAATCTCATTTATTTCTATAACCAGACACATCTACCAACCAGAAAAAGGCAATGTCATAAATTAAAAAGCAAACTTCTAAAGAGAAGTTACAAAAACATTTTAGGAAGGAAAAATGAGGAAAATACAAATAGGATCAAGTCCAAGTATACCAAGGTGGCACTTCTCAACTTGTGTACTAAAAAATCCTGCAGAGTTCCCTTAGTTTACAGGGAAAGGTGGGATCTCAATGCAAGGTAAGTCCATGGGTTTGGGATAAGTGGCTTTCAGATCATGTGCCACACAAATATATATAAATATTTTCTAAGTATGTTAAGGAATGAAAATATTGTGAAGTATCAATTTAATGAAAGTGCTAACCTGAGGGAAAAACCTAGGTTCAACTTCTTGCTATCTCAGTAGCTAAATGACCTTAAATTACTGAGACTTTTGAAACCCTTAGTAAGGCTCATTTATTAAATGAAAAATAGTTTAGACTAATTTAGCTCTAAAATTCCATCATTTCCCATACATATACACTTGATGTAAAGTAACAGCCACACTTATTTAATTAAAAACTCTCAACTCCTTCAGTCATTCAATAAATATTTATCAAGCACCTAATCTGTGCCAGGTATGTGAAAATCTGGGAAAACATGGAAGACATAATTCCTAAATACATCTTAATGTGAAAGTGGTTAAATAGTAAATGCTTCTAAATAGAAATCTGCATATATAATGAAAGCTTACCTATGCATAATTAATAAATATTAACTTTAGTTATAGTCAGAGCTTCTGCCAGGATAATTTTCCTCCTCTATATACTCAATTGCTTTTAAAAAATTATTTATGTAAACAATTACTGCTAAACTGCATTTAAAATCAAAATCAATTCCAAAAGTATAAGTTTATAAAAATAGTTTATTTTTAAAGACTCTCAATAGGACTTCAACATCTTATTTTTAGATTATACCAAAAAAGGCAATTGAGTGTTCAGTATATTTTAATTCATGATGGAATCTGTTCCATATCGAAGACTATATATATATATGGTCTATTAGGTGGGGGAAAGCATGATTCAAAGTTTTAATTAAATATTACATAATTGGATTTCACCCCAAATATTTAAGCTGAAATTTTCCAATGAATACAATTTCACAAGTTACAAATATATATATCAACTTACAACTGAAACATTTAGTATTTTTACAGTGTTTTTAAAAATCTAGTTCCATAATCACTTTCTTTTCCTTAAAAAAAAATCCTCAGCATATGAGAAGTTTACATTTCGCTGGAAATGCATACATGCACCTAATAGTAAGATCCAAAATGAGAAGAATTACTATCTCCAGGAGTGGGTGGAGGAGGTAGTGGTGGAGGAGGGGGAGGCGGGGGCAAGGAGTATGGTAAGTTAAGCATTGGATGAGGTGCCATGTTAGGTGCAGCCCAACCCATGTTTACAGATGGAGGTGGTGGAGGGAGTGGAAAGTTATGCATGTCAAACACAGGCGGAGGAAAGGGGTATTGTGGCATAATAGGATTATCTTGTCTCTGAGGTGGAAATCCCAAAGTCTCTTGAGATACCATATGTTCTGAATTATAAAACTGCTGAGCTGGAGGCCTGCTGTGGCAAGATCGAGGGTATCTACCCCTAGAAAATCCTCGTGTGAATTCCCTGTTGCGATATCCTTTTGAATGTTCTGAAGAAGGGCTATAAGCATTCCAATTCTGATGAACTTCAGCAAAATCTTCACCTTTGAGTGGGGAAAAAAATATATACATAAAACCAAAATTAAAATACCAAAAAGCACGGTTTGAAATTTTAATAATGCCTTTTTAAAAAAATTACCAAAATACGGCAGTTAAAACAATGTTAAATTTGAAGTTGTCAATTTTAAATAAATTGAAAAAGTAAAACTTAAAGCCCAAGGATTGGGAGAAAGCAAGACAGAAGACAGTGACTCCAGCCAAACACCACAGAAACAACCATAGCACCATGCCACTTACACTCTCAAAGGTGAGCAGACAGCCCGGACTTCTACCCTTGACCACCTGTAATGAAACACCCAATCATCCTGCCAGGACAGTGTCAGGGTCAGAGTGAGCATGGCCCTAGTAACAAAACCTCCTCAGAGTGATGGTGGAGAGCACACAGAGCCAAAACTTCCACCTTCACCAGCAGCAGCACTGTGTTCTTCCCTTTGTGCACTGAGGTGGTGTAGGAAAAGACTCAGCAGAGTCAGGACTCTCCCTCAGCCCAGTGGGAAAAGGTTATCCTTTACTGGTGTCAGTGACAACATAACTCCCTACTCCTACCAGGCACTGGAGAAGATCTAGTGGGGTGTCAGAACTTCACCCTTGTCTTACAGTAATGAGGCACCCCTTTCTACTTGAGTGTCAACAAAGGCTAAGAGGAAAACCTAGGCTCTGCTCTACTTCCTTTCCCTACTAGAACAGTATCTGAAAAACAGACAAATGTGAGCAAAACATATGATTTACATAAGAACCAAGTCTCATAAATACCCAACATACCCAAGCTTTAATAAAACATTAACTCACCATAAAAAAAAGGAAAATTTCACTCAAGAAAAAAAGGAAAAGCCAGCCAGAGCAATACAAAGATATTAGAATTAAGAAAGATAATGCCTTCACAGAAATGCTTCAACAAGAAATGTTATGCACACTTTTAAAAAATGAAAGTAAGAAAATCTCAGATAAAAAATAGAATAGAAATTTTAGATATGAACATTATAATAATCAAAATAAATAAAAGTGAACAATATTGAAGGAGAAGAACAATACTAGAGGATTAACACTACCCAACTTCAAGAGTTACTATGAACCTACAGTAGACACAACAATGTGCTATGGAGAAAGAACAAACAGATCAACAAGACAAAAGAGAGAGCCCAGAAATAGACCTATGCAAATATTTATAGTATATGAATTTATATACTCAGCTAATATTTGACAAAAGGTACTTTAATGGCCCAAAGGCGATTTTCAACAAATGGTGTTGAAACAACTAGACATCTGTGAATGAAATAGAATCTGTGAAAGAAAGAAAAGACAGAAACCTTAACCCTTCATAAGATTTAATTCAACATGTACCACAGACCTAAATGTAAAAAAAAAAAAAAAAATCACTGATAAGCTGAATTTCATTACAATTAAATTTTTCTGCTCTCTGAAAGACAATGTCAAGAAAATGATGTTAAAAAAACAACTTATAGACACAGCTGATTTTAAAAAACTATTATTAAAAATAGACAAAGAATTCTTAAAACTCAACAATAAGAATCTGATTAAAAAATAGGCCAAAGACCTTAACAGACACGAGACACCTAACCAAAGAAGATATACAGTTGGCAAATAAGCATATGAAAAGAGGCTGTTATACATCAACAGAGAAGTGCAAATTAAAACATTGAGATACCACTACACACTTATTAGAATTGTCAAAATCCAGAGCACTGAGAACATCAAATGTTGGCAAGGTTATGGAGTAACAGGAACTCCTATACATTGCTGACATGAAAGCAAAATGGTACAGTCACTACGAAAGACAATTTGTAAGTTTTTCTCATAACTAAGCTTACTTTTAACATATGGTACAGCAATCTTGTTTCTTGGTATTTATTCAAATTAGTTGAAAACATATCCATCCACGCACAAACAACAACAACAAAAAAAAACTTGCACATGAATGTGTCTCTAGTCTTATTCACAAATCAATTTTATAATGAACCTAATACCGATATGTTAAAAAAAAAAGAAAGTCTTAAAAAATTGATGGATGAGTTCAAAAACAGAATACAGGGAACAAGGAAATATCAGAGAACTTGATGATAGATAAGTGGAAAACACTCAAGAAAATCAACTGGAAAAACGTTTTAGGGTTGTGTTCTGAAAACTACAAAATGCTAATGAAAAGAAATCAAACACCGTCTAAATAAACAAAACTGTGTACCATGTTCATGGAATGTCAGCGGAGCTTGGATGACAATTCTTTCAAAATTAATTAATATGTTTACTGCAATTGCTATTACAATTCCAGCAAGATTTTTTGTCAATACAGAGAAGATTATTTTAAAATTTGTAAGGATAGGCAAATGACCTAGAATAGCTAAAAATCATTCTAAAAAAGAGAAAGAAAGTAGGAGGTGTCACTCTAGCCAATTTCAAGACTTAGTATTAAGTACAATAATAAAGACTGTGGTATAGATACATAACAATGGAATAGAACAGAGAAGCCAGAAACAGATCAACACAATATAGCCAAATAATTTCTGATGAACCTCAAAAGGAATTCACTGGAGTAATCACAGTTTTTCAACAAATGATAAAGAAACAATTCGACATCTATAAGCAAAAGAACCAACATCAATCAAATCACTTATCCTATTCAAAATTTAACTCAAAATGGATCATGAATATAAAATGTGAAGCAGATGACTACAAAACTGTAGAGAAAAAAAGAAAAAATCTTTACTATGATTAGGCAAGAAGTTATTAGACTTTATAAAATGAAATCTGATATATTTGGCTTTCATAAAACTAAAAACTTTTGTTCTGTAAAAGACCCTTTTAAGAGGATGAAATGACAAGCTACAAACTGAAGAAATTATATATAAAGTACATATTTGCCAAAGGACTCAAATACAAAAATTTATTTTTAAAAACTTCAAATAATTCAAAAGGAAAATAACAGAAATACAATCAGAAAATAGAGAAAAACATGAATAAACATTACCATCAAAGAGGGTAAATAGTTAAAATTGACCACATGAAAAGACGGTCAATGTTATTAGCCATTAGAAAAGTGCAAATTGAAACCACAATTAAAGATCACTTACACCTAAAATTAAAAATGACAACACTAAATGTTGGTGAGAATGCAGAGAAGCTGAGTCACCAGTGTTACTACTGATGACAATATAAAATAGTACCACCAAACCAAAAAAAAAGGGCATGACAGTTTAAGAAACTAAGCATGTAATGCAACTATCATATAACTTAGCAATTACATTTTTGTGTATATGTCCCAGAAGAATGGAAATTTGTTTTCACACAAAAATCTATATACAAATATTTATAGCAGCTTTGCCCAAATGAACAAAAAATGCAAACAACTCAGATATCTTCAATTAGATGAATGTTTAAACAACCTGTGGTATAGTCCCAACATGGAATAGTACTATTCAATAAAAAGGAAAAAAATCTATTAAGTGTATCTATAATAATAACTATAACAACCTGGATGGATGCCAAGAAAATTACAGTCACTGGCAAAATCAAATCCCTAATTTTAACATGCTATATAGCTCCATTTACATAACATTCTTCACATGACACTTTTTTTTAGAGAAATGAATAACAGGTAAGTGGTATAAGCTAAGGAAGCAAGATAGAAGGAAATGGATATGACTATAAAAAGGAAACCTAGGGAGCTTGCTGGTGATGGAAATGTTATGTATGTTGACTGCATGAATGTCAAAAATCCTGGCTGTGATATTGTACTACCAAATTTTACAAGATGTCACAACTGGAGGAAACTGGGTAAAAAGTATGCAGCATGTCTCCTATTATTTCTTATATCACAAAAAGTTTAATTTTAAAAAGCTATCACTAACTATTCCCTTGTGACTCTCACCCACCCATATCCCATGTTGCACAATTTCTCCAATAATTCCTGGATGCCAGAAAGTAACACAGAACATAGAAATGTCTTTCAGCTTTATTACAGATAAACCTATATAGATCTAAATGAATGTAAATAAAGACTACATATTATATTCACTCACCTGGCTCATTAAATTCAGATTTGAGTTTTTTCCGGCCTTGAATCTGAGATTTTTTTCTCTGTTTGGCTTCTTTTTCTTTTTCATCATCACTGAAGTCTAAGGCCTTGCAGATGAAAGTAGATTTAAATCACACAGATTTGTCAATTCATACTTAGAGACTTAGAACAAACCTGTAAGACCTATTATTTAGCATAGCAACTGACCTTGACAAGTTTCTCCTTTCAGTACTTAATATTTTCCAGTAATATCTCAACTAATTAGAAATCTTAAAAAGTCAAGTTTCTTTGTTTTTGACAATTGCCTAAAGACTTCATTAATACAGGCCATTAATAAAGCTGCTTAATCATTAATCAAGCTGTTAAACCATCAATCAAGGTTTATTAATTCCTAGAAAGTTTTGGGTAGGTAACTTTACATCATCAGGTGTGGGTACTGCCTGGCCAGAAGACTGACCTCCAACTTACACTTAAGATTGATCATAATGCCAGTTGCCAAAGGATGTCAAAATAATAATTGATTAATTAAGATTAAGCAAATTTCACACACCATCAGATCCAATATAAAAATAAAACATTGCTTTGTGACTCATTTATTTAAAAACATTAATATAACCATTATATGCCAGTCTTATTCTACACTCTTAACAGGTTACAGTAAAACCAATAAATATAAAATAAGACAAAGTAAGGGCATAAAAAATCATGGGGATGTTATGTAGATCCACTCCCACCAGATGCAGCACTGTGTTCTTTCCCTTCCCTGGCTTTCAAAACCAGACACAGAACTATGTGATCTAAATTCTAAGAGGAAATTATTTCAAATTACTAGCGTAAAATTCACATTTTACGGGGAATTGGAATTCACCATTCTACACCTGTCAGAAAATCAAGATTTATGTCATGATATCTTTAGTTCAGGTATATTGCTTTTCTACTACCACTAGAAAACATGTAGGCGTATGTGCACACTTAAAGGAAGAAATATAATAGATGTAAATGTCTCTGTATGGCATTTTCAGTATGCTCTTGCTGAAATAATATAATATTTTCCAGATAAAATCCTCCATGAACCACTAAGACCATATACCTACCATTATCATTTTCAAACACATCAACTAAATTTTAGTACCTTCAAATATAAGATACATTTTTTTTATTACTGATCTTAATGTATTAAGATTTTAAAACTCAGGTTGAATCTGGCATCCATCAGACACCAGAAAGTACTAAGATCAGATGGAAGACGTTTATTTCTTTGAAACTATTTAGTCAAATGAGAAAACAAATAAACCAGCAATACAATGAGTAAGTATTATGGGGTTGGATAAAGAGGAAAAAAAGGAAGAAAGCCTTCTTGGTAAAAATAACCCAAGATAAACATCTCATGAGTTAGCTGGGAAAATAAGGGAAAGGAAATCTTCAGGAAGTGGGAATGATATGTGCAGAGGCACTGAAGTATATGGTGTGTAAAAAAAGTCAAAAGGATTCTGTAAGGCAAAGTGAAAGCTTCTTATACAGCAAAATCAAAGAGACAAGGTTGGAGAAGTTAATAACATTATTGTGCCATTTTAAATATCCATGCATCATCTCAAAGCAAGAGGGAAGAAATAAAGAATTTTAATTTGGAATAGTTTATTTTAGAGAGATTACGTTGGTAAAATTTTGCTAAGATTTACTTTTCCTTGTTTTCAAATCTGCATTCATTAAACATTTATTCAGTTATAAATTTCATATGTTTATGTTAGAAATGGATATAAAATAAGATGTATTCCTGAGTGATTTTTAGGACCTTAATGCATCTCCAACATTTTCATAGTACATTATCTCTCAAATTTTCTTTTATATGTTAAAGCTTCCTATTTTCAGGGCACATAATTTATTTTAGGCCTCACAAATTCTAATCAACCATCAATATCAGGCAATAATTCGGAACTACAAAATGTCATCAACAAATACTACAAAATCCAATCCCAACACAGTTCATGATCCAGCCTGCCACCTGGAAAAAATAAACATCATGAAGCACGTGGGATTTCATTTTGTCATTAATCTTTTATGAAACCAATTTCATAAACACTTTACATTATCACAATTAGTAACTTCCATGTTTAGTGTGGAAATAATAGGCATGTATTAGAATATCTGAATTTCACAAGAGATATATTTCAAGATCTGATTCAATCTCCAAAACACTTTTGAAACAGAACTTGAGAAACAAAATGCTCTAAACCTACCAGAGAATGTTAAGTGAGTATACAGAGCATTACATGTGTACGTGTTAACTAGAAAACATAATCCCATTTCAATGTGGATAATAAGCTAAGATCCCTCCCTGGTCAAGTGACTCATACCTGTATAAAATTCTCTATGTGGGTATAAAACTACCTCAAAACAAAATTAGAAGTTAATACACACCATGAGCCTGGCATTACTTGAGAATATCTAAAATGATTACCTGAATCTTCAAATACCAAAAATCAATAATACTGAAAAAATTTTACAGAACTGAGTACAAGAAAATCTGCTTTAATATCTCCATGGAGAGTTAAACAAAATAACTCTACTAAATAATTAATTCATTTACATATTACCCCCAAATTAATTTCACATCTCTAAACAGACTAGAGTATCAACCCATCGTTCCATGCCTTGTTGGAATAGATATAAAAATATAAATCAAGGAGATCTTGTTTCGGAAAGGTAATTATGCTATAAAAAATGGGGAGGTAGGTAAGTCTCTAATGATTTTATATGAAGGGTGCATATTATCAAAAGCTTCACAATAATGTTTTCATGTCCCATTTGAAGAATTTACTAAAACAATGAAAAACTTACTAAAAATAAAAACTTTCAAAATAAAATAAAATAATGCCTTTACCAGTTACCAACAAAGTTAATACAACAGGAAACACAAGGTAAATGAGGGGATATTTTTTTAAAATGTATTAGACTTAAGTCATGCCTACTTTATAAAACATTCAGTAATAAGCTTAATACTTACATCTGGTGGTGGTTCCTGATCATTCTTCCATGATGCATCTGACCCCCTATCCCTGAAAAAAGAATTTTAATAAACAAATTTAAAAAGTACTTATCAAAAATATGCTGTTAGCAGTGCTTATATAACATTAATAGTATGGAAAATAAAGAAGATGAGCGCAACTGGCAATTTCGCAATACATGAAAATAGCAAAAAACAAAAGACCATTTATGTGTCCTTTACCTTATTTCAGATAATATGAGAATCTCATAAGAAAACCACAAAATTTGGACCCATTTAAGTATTAGAATTAGGGAATTAAGAAGAGAAACCAAGATTGTGGTGTGCAGATAAACATGGTTTTACTTTTGTGATACCTGAAGTTTGCATAAACTCTGTTCAGGAAATGTTTGTTCAACATCAATTACAAATCAGAAGTCACTCAAGCAGCTACAGATGCAAAGATATGAAGTGTTCCCTTTTCTAGCATTTTACAGATCTGATGCTAGAGCTATTGATTTAAATCCTTCTCTCCTCATTCTGACTGACTGTAAGTAACCCAGACTTATTTCAACAATTATTAAGTGGCCTAGACTTATTTCAACAGGGATTCTCAAAGTGAAAGAAAGACTAATTTGAGGAGGATGAGAAGAAACACTGAAAATTCAGAAGGACAGAATAATCAGAGGTGTATGTGGAAGGAGTAAATGGAGCTGAAACTTAATTACTCCTGGTGGAAAAGTTTCACATTCTATAAAACCAAGAAAAGTACATATAATGAATATGATTATAATTTCTTAAACCTCACTTTTAAATCTTACCTTTTTAATCTTATTACTTCCATGACTTCAGGCAATATAGTTATTCAAATGCACTAAAATATTATAAAGTACTGTGACTGGATGTTCTTTCTCATTGCTTTAAACTAGACAATGAGTGAGGGTCTCAGGAATTAATGCCACTAAAATCAATGCACAGATGTCAGTATGGTGGCACAAAATAAACATCAAGTTTGCTTTAAATATTTGACTTGAATCTTTGACATTATATATGATGTATTTTTTATCAGTTAAATAAGGTACTTATTTATTCAATTGTCATTTTACAATCTGTGCATTTAACACAGCTCCAATATTCCTTTTGGAATATATGACATCTCATGACCTGAAATGGCTTAGCCTGGAGTTCAAATATGTAATTGGGAAAAATTCCCCAACTAGTACATCTACCACAGGAAATCAAAAAGCCACTAAAGGAAAAATCAGACAACATTTCTGAAAGCACTTTTAACAGACAGTATATGGAAAGCTTAAATTAAATTAGCCTTTGTTAGGCTGGTAAGTTAAGTAGTGCACAGAGTTCCCATGAGAGACACCAAAGTGCACCATCAATGGGGTTTATGCAGGACGATCTAATTTCCAATTCTATAGTTTATTCCTATTTAATAAACATTTTCAGAAAACATTCCAACTACCTGTGTTAAGCTAAAATATTTATTGTTAAAGGCTAAGAATATCGTATAAACACAGCAGCATCTTGATATCCATAGCAGATGGAAATGTTAATTATTTAAAGCATTATTTTAAAACATATTAAAACCTTTATGACTTAATGTCTATTTAATTCATCTTTCCTGCTAGCAGTTATTTAGGGAAATTAACCTTACACAATCTGAAGAGATTGAACAAAATTATGTTTCAGATAATTATGATCTTCTTAAACATGAGTTTAATCAATTAAAGACTACAAATTTCACCTCTGAAATAACTAAAGAAATTCAGTGACTTAATTTAACTTGGAAGTGGAATAGAGACCTTAAGCTTTGCAGCATGTACTAATACTTTGGAGGAAGACCCAACGTTACCCACTGACTAAATTTCCTTGAAAAACTACATCTAAAAATACATAGCCTGTATTTCAGATTTCCTATAACAGGAGAGCTAAAACTTACAAATCTGTGTCAAAGTGCAAAGTCTTTTTGGATTTAAAACCCTCTCTGCCTCCCTCTTCTGTGGTCTTCTTCCATTCCTAATTTGACTATATTTTTGTAGTTAATTACAGCTTTCTCAAAGCACTCAACTTATTTTTATAGAAAAACCTATCCTACTTGAACTCATATACCATGTTTAGATAAAAAATTAAATTATGGGCTGGGCTTGCTGGCACATGCTGTAATCATAGACACGTAGGAAGCTGAGGCAGGAGGATTTCAATTTGACATGGGCCTGGGCAACTTAGTGAGATCTTTTCTCAAAATAAAAGTTAAAATAGGGTGGGCACAGTGGGAACCCCCTGAAGTTCAATCCTTATACCACCACTCTTCCAAAAAAAAAAGAGAAAATAAAAGAAGAGATTAAATTATATAATTATCACAGTAAGTTCTACTGATATAAATCAGCTATACAGCTAACACTTGCCAACACAATACTTGCAAAATAGACAATAAACCAGAAAGAGTACAATTAGGCAAAAATTTTGTGACTCACATACTACAGGGATCATTCTGCATATATATAGACAAAATGGAGGCCACTAATTTGTTGGAGAGGTCAACCTTTTTACCACAGCTTTACATTCAACTTCGCATTGACATATTTTAATTGTCTCTCTCCATAAATTTACAAATTATAAGCAATCTAAAATTTAGTCACTTTTTTTCTTGGTGAATATTTTAGTTTTATTAAATAGTTAACCCTATGAATGTAAACCAAACAGAATTTTATTTAAAATCTAAAGAAACATTTTAAAATCAAAATACCAATGTTGAAGTAGTTACATACAGAACATAATGAAAAAACAATGAACTAGAATTCATAAAATTTACACAATACAAATGTTCTCCCAGTGGGCTATCATTACATCTGGAACAAAAGATACAAACGATTTCTACCTATAAAATGTGATAACAAATCGTAGAATTATTCTTAAATGTTAGATAAATAAAGAACTAATATGTCAATAAAGTACTTACTGTTTTAGTTTTTCTGTGAATATATATTGGGTGAAATCTTTCATTGATGGAGCAAAATACATAGTCTCCCTGATTTTAATACCTTTACTTTCAATGTGATCTGAAGAATTAAATCGTAACACATAAAACGGATGTGCAACAGGTCCAAATATTTCAAATATCTACAAAATAGAAGAAGCATAAAGGTCCGTTTTAACATGGAAAATGATTTGAAATGTTAGCAATATTTCTTTTGAAAAATGCCACTTGTAGCTGCTAAAATAAGATAATTTTGAAAATGTTAGGGCAATGAACTTACCCTTATACTGTTTATATACTCAGTCTTCATATTTTGATTATAAATGCAGCTTATCCCAAATTTACTTATAAAAATTTTTTCTAAGCTTGTTTCTTAACAAATTAAAATCATTATAGTGGTTACCTTATAGATGTAAATAATGAAATTTAAAAAGTATTGTCCATTTAAGTTGTAAGGTACAAATATTATAACTGGTAACTTTTGAATTTAAGATGCTATCTGCATTTGTACTTTTATAATTGGGAAACTAAAGTAAGCTTCTGCAGATCAACTCTTCTGTTTCCATAGAGTGTTAGACATTTTAAAAAATTAAACCATGACTTTTTAAAAAGCAGTTAAGTATATAATTTTAATGGCTATATAGCACAATTTATTAATGTCTCATTACTATATCTTCAGGCAGCTTCCAAGTTGTCCAATAGAAGACATGATGCCATGATGGACGTCTTCATATGTACATCTCTCTCTAATTTTGAAAAACTTCTAAAAACTGATTTGGAAGAAGCTGAATTATCAGAACGAAATATGATAATTATTAAAGCTATTGATGTAAATTACTAAACAAATATGATAATTATTAAAACTACTGATGTGAATTACTAAATCCTTGGGCAATTTATACCAACTGGAAAGTGTCTATTTTATCAAATCTTTGATTCTGATATTAAGTCTTCTCATTTTGTAATACACAGTATAGTATTCCAGCTTTTGTTCATTTTCACTAAGGCATAAAACATCTAACACAGCAAGGTACACCATTCTGAAGGTTATTATACCCTAAAAACAAGTAGTAGCATTAAAAGCAATTAAAATGCCAATGTATTCTGAATTAACATAATTTAGAACTGATAAAAAATTTTAAAAGTAAAACAAATGATCTAATAAAACAACAAATCATCTTTGAGAGGTTTATATAAATACAAAAGACCTCTAGCTGACACAGTGGCACATGCCTATCTATAAAAAAAATTATGTCAACAGGGTTATAAAGAGTCTGGTTTGAACTAAAATGTAAATGACATTCAAATTCTTAGACAATGAAGTGCTTATGAGCCACAACTATAGTGAAATCATCATAAAGTTTTTAAGTGAAATAATACCACATTCAAGAGGAAACCGAAAGTTGAACTGTGAAATTGATATGTGGCATGCACCAATATTGACCTGTACCCCTACCTCAATCAGTCACAGGAAATTTGGCCAAGTCTACTTAAGCAATTTAGCAAACAGTTATTAAAAAAAAAAAAAAAGAATTTGATAATATTTTAAGTAACTGTCAACTGCAAAATATAGATATATCTGATTGCTAAACTATGAGGAGAAACTTTAAACACAGCAGAGCTCAGACCAGCCCATGTCTTCTCATATAGTTCTACAATGAGTAATTTATATCCCTCCTTAGTAATTCCACTCAACTTTGGGAACTTTGTAATTTCCAAAAAACTTAATTTGAAATAAAAGCAAAACAAGTAACACACTGCAAGGAGAGTGTGAAAAGAAAAATTTAGGATAGTAACAATGGAGACATTTACTTTGAGGTGGTTGAGCAGCTTTATACCTTAATCAATAGTACATATTCTGTAGTAGAAGTGCTCATACAAAGGATTTCTGTCACACAGAGGTTAACATATACCACTACCACAACATGGTACAAATATAACATGGAATCTGCTGGGGAAAAACTGAGGAACACAGTATTAATGAAGTGTATGCAGTCCCTCAAATTCTCATTCCACAGGATAGACTGGGCTTAGACATTTTGTATACAGCATGGCCAAAGTCCCAGCAAGTGTATGTGCTGGGCCTGCCTGAGCCAGCAGACTGACAGGCACAGAAAACACTCTAGTAGGGAGAATGAACACCACCCTATTCTCCCTCTCTACAAACACACCATGTCACACACATAAAAGTCAGTCTAAGAGGGACTAGTAAGTCACAGATTCTCTAAGTAACAAGAAATACATCCAGCAATCTCCAGGACCAGGAATAGCACTGGAAGACTGTGCATGTAGAAGGCCAAGTCTTCTAATATGCTGCTGGCCTGTTCTACTGAGCCAATTTTTTACTACACTATGAGAAGGTGAATGAAAGTGAGGAAAATTAATCTCCACACCCTTTCAGGATTGTCTTATATCAATCATTTTGTGATTTTTTTTAAACATTAACAAAAATGAAAGAATGTAGACAGGCAGGGTATCCCAAGTCACTGGTCAAATCAAGTGATAACTTCAATCATTGTGTGTATCAGATCACAAGTTAACATGAAGTATCCATGAGAACTGAGAGAGGCAAAAAAAAAAAAAAAACAACACTGCATCCATATAACATGGAGACCTTCAGGAACCCATCATATCCTACCTACAAAGACTGTCAATATAAACTGATCTTTTTTAAAAAAAAAATCAGTAAAAGTTCCTTAGCCAATGGTATTTGAGAGGGAAATAGATCCCAATACTTACCAAAGAGAATCAATCATTACGGGAATCAAAGGGCAAATCTAGAAATAGTAATCTGAGATTGTCCTCCTGACATTAGTGGGGATGGAAGTGGGAGGTGGGAAGGAAATGAAATTGAGTTCTCAGGTCAATTTTGCTCAAATTTATCAAGTTTTCTCTCAGTTTTAAAATGTACTGAAGGAAAAAATATCCTTGCTTCTGAATTGCAGTGCAATGGATGGATTAATTGTGATAATTCCTTGTGACTTTTTTGGTAAATACCCAAAAAGTCTGGTTAAGAAATATTTCAATGATCAGGGAACTTGATAATTATCAAAATACAAAATTCTTTCTGGGAACAAAAAAGATCCCAGACAAGCTAAATGCAAAAAATAAATATTTATGATGTGGGTGTCAGTGAATTTTAAAAAGATAAAGAAGCTGGGTATAGTGGCACATGCCTGTAATCCTAGGGACTTGGGAGGATGAGTCAGGAGAATCTCAGATTTAAGGCCAGTCTGGGCAAGTTAGTGAGACCCTGTCTCAAAATAAAAAAATAAGGAGGGCTGGGGATGTGTTCAGTGATAGAGCACTTGCCTAGTATGCATAAAGTTATGGGTTCAATCTCCAATACAGGGTGGGGATGGGCTACAAAGAACATAAAATATCACTGTGGCTGATTAATTTTGTTGTTATTGAAGAGCAGAGGACAAAGAAAGCATGAGCAATGGCTCATGTTATGTATCTAGATAAGATAGCTAACAAGATTAAAGCACATCCATTTCATATCTTGGTCACTGGTTTGTTTTATATTCTAACCCTTCCTATCACCACCACTACTTTGGGGAATCATTTCAAGGTGCTCAGATTTATAATTGAATATTTTTTAATGATTTGTCATTTCTCAAATTTACAAAGCTTCCTGGGCATATTTAAAGATAGATTGAATTTTTGCTTGAAGCCTTATGCCAGCTAACTAAAGTTAGTGACCTAACTATTATATTTTTACACTGCTCCTTTCAAAAACAAATGACACAAGCTGATTATTATTAATCCCACTTAAAGGTCTGAAAATTCAAATATATCGGGGATATAAAATGTCAGTTTAGAGGGTTTAATTAGCAAAGTGTTTGGGTATTTTGAAATTAAAATTAGCTAGTAAGAGAGAAAGGCAACCATCATGAATATCATAATAAAAGAAATTAAGAAGTGCTCAGCTTCAATAATGTCCTATTCAGAAAATTAAGAAATATGTTTCCCTTGCCTCTTCTCCCCTCTTTTTGCGGCTCTTCTTTTTCCTTTTCTTCCTCTCTAGAGCAGAAAGAAAACTTTGATTTTTGCCAGGGAAGAAAATAGGTTTCTCCTACAAAAGGGGACCAATGGGCATGGATAGCCTTTCCCATCATGATCATCTGTCAGGGGCTAGAAGGAAAGAATAGCCTGACAGCCCCCTGGGAGACATCCTGCCTGGGAGACATCCTGCAGCTACCTATCTCCCTGGAACATCCTGCGGTTATCAGGATCGTCAGACATCTTGCAGCTGGCAGTTTTCCAACCCACATCCAGCAATTGCTGATTAGAGAGCTTCCCCATCCCCAGCATATAAATACCCCTGTGTGAACAATAAAAGTTTGCAGCTTGATCAGAATTTCTGTCTTGCTGTCATCCTTCCGTGTCTCTTGTCCCTTCATTCCTCCCCATCTAGGTTCCTTGCCCACGTTGATGTGTCCTGCTGGTGGGGACAATCATCTGCTCATTTCCCATTGCTTTTCTCTCTCAATCCACCCAGAGGTCAGTCTATCTCCAATCTTTTACAAAGGCATTGGCAGTAAGCAGAGTTTGTACTATATACTTCAGTACTTCTTTCTAAATTTGAAAATTCTGAGACCCACTTTCAAAAATAAAAGCCACACCACCATCCTTTAGACACTAACAAGTCCTCTTTCCCCTCACAAACTTTCTCAAAAAATGCCAAAAATATTAGTTCCTCACTCCAATTAATTCTTCTACCAACTGCTTTGCAATTGAGTGACTCACTGCTTCGGTTAACTGGCCAGTCAACCTAAAAAACACATTTAGGTGGTGAAAGGTAGCAGGATACTGATAAAAACCTGACCACTTTCTAAGTTGTGTTAGAATGGACAACAGAAAAAGTTACTGAAAACAAAAAGGCTGTGTAAGTTAAAAGCTTAAAATATTTGGTTTTTCTTGATTTAAAGTAAACTAAGTATAACTCCTGGAACAGAAAAAAAAAAAGAAGAAAAAGAATCCGCCAATTATTGCGCATTTGGGAAACCCCAATAAGTTATTTCACCAGAAAACAGCTGGTTACTTATCCCCCTCCCTCCCAAGTCAATACACATTTACACATTTATTAGCACATACACATTTATTAGCACATACACTTAGAAAGAACTATTATATTCATTGAAATATTGAGGTGAATAAAAAACTCTGTCCCTACTGTCACATAAAAAATGAACACTTGGTTAGTACTTACATTTTTCTTCCCGGTGCTGGGAACTGATCTCAGGGGTACATTCCCAGCCATTCTATAATTTTGAAACAGGATTTCAGTAAGTTAGTGAGGCTAGCAATGAACTTTGGATGCTCCTGCCTCAGCTTTCTGGACCACTGGGATTATAAGCATGTGCCACTATGCCTGATAGTACTTATATGCTTAATTTTATTAGATTTTATATCTTATGCTTATTGTCAAAACTGCCTATATGCTTAGTGAAGTATGTGGTTTTTCACATTAAGGATGAACATGCAGGTTGTTCCACTACTTAGATGTTAAAAGGCCTGGGCGTGATGGCACATGCCTGTAATCCTAGTGACTAGGAGGCCGAGATGGGAAGATCCCAAGTCAAGACCAGCCTCAGCAACTTAGAAAGGCCCTAAGCAACTTAGTTGGAACCTGTCTCAAAATAAAAAATAAAAAGAGCTGGGAACATACCTCATTGGTAAAATGCCCTGGGTTACATACTCTGTTCAAAAAAAGAAAAATGTTTAAAGGGACCGAACCTTATGGTGACATTGAAAATACACATATTCATAGTTCCCTAGAGGGTACTTACAGTGACACTTCACTGCTGTCCCTGAAATCTTTTCCACTTGAAACAGACTCTGCTCTTGGCTTCTACCTGAGAAGGCCAAAATCTAAAAACTTTAAAAGAGTCACAAACTCACTGGGACTCACAAACCAAAATTGATTGAGAACTAATACCCTAAGGAAAGTCTTCCTCACTCAGCTCTGCAAACTAGGAGGGCAGGGAATTGTGTCTTATTCAGTATGTATACCTATAGCCTAGCAAAGTACCTGGTAAGAATGCTATGTGTGTGTCTTCGGTGACTCATGGAGCAAAGATAGCAGTATAAAACCAATTTACAGATTTATAAAGGACTGAAGGAAATCAAGAATATATTAAACATGAGAGCTCTAGATTGCTCATCTACTAAAATTAATAAACTCTTCTTAGCTCCAATAGGGGAAGTAAAAAAAAAAAAAAAAGACACACAATAATTTGTAGGAATTGAATTTTACAAACCTTTCCTGCTGCTTGTCGATCACTTTTAAAAATCACAGTTTCCTCATTAACTGGAGGTAGGTTATTCATAGACTCAATTATTACTGAAAAACATAAAAAAAATTATTTCAAGATTTAATCCAAAGATAATGTAGAATTTTGGTGAGAATTTATGCTTTAATTACAACATAATTTAAAATAAAACTTAAGGTGGGATAACATACACATTAGCAACTATTTCTCTTCAGTAAACAAAATATAATCACAAAACACAGGCAGCTAACCTGTGATATTTAACACAAAACTTATAATTCCAAAAAGAAAAATATAATGGAAAATTCGAATAACTCATTAAGAAGTCAAAAAATCCAAGAGTAAATTTTGTCAATTTTTGCCAAAAATAGTAAAATCACATGTAGTAACAGAAGAAATCAGTGAGGTTTCTCACTCTGGAATTATTTCCTACAAAGCATTGATTATTTACTGATAAATAAAAATAAAAATGTTAAATTAAGTGGTTAACAAAACATTTTCCCTTGAACAGATGAAAAAAGGGCAAAAGAGTTCACAGTAATTTTTATCATTACATTTAAGTTCCCTTAACAAAAAAAAAAAAAGCATTATCCCATTGGCCTATTCTTACTTGTTGCTCTAATCTTAAAGATTTGTCTCGTGTTTATTTTTCTTTTTGTGGTTGTATGTCAGTTATTTAACATTTTTGACAGTGATATTTCTCTGCTTCTATCTAGATGGATAATATCTAATTAGTCCCTATTTTTAAAATTCAAACAGAAAAACCCAGCATGGCTTTTAGAACTACACGGTACAATGTCAAATCCCTTTCTTTTCATCTAAGGTCTTACTTGAATTCATAGATTAATTTGCCTAATGTATTAATAGTTTTCCTTTTTTAAATTTGGTCAAAATTATGTTAGATATTTTAGGCTTTCAAAACAGGTTGGTATACAATAATAGCATGTGTTGATTTTGATTTCTTCACTCTTTATTACCCAGTAAAGTTGAAAATTTTATTAGTATATTTCATTGTGTTGGTCATATACATTAACAAAGCATTATTCCATGCACATCATACAGTTGACTTTTCCTTGAGGATCAACGCTATGACCTATAATATGTCTGCAAACATTAAAACTAATAAATGCTCGCCTGATACTATAAGAAATTAATTATCTACTTGATTTATCTATATATATTATTAAGAACCACAAGGTAAACTTAAAAACTAGTACATGTGATGGCGTGGGAACAATGAATAGAGTTTTAGTAACCCAAATTTTGATTAATAAATTGAAAACTATAAAATTAATTTTTAAAAACACTGACTGATACGGACACTGTAAGAAAGATCAAAAGATGGAGTCCTATTTCAACCAATGACTTAAGACAACTGATCTTAAGAGTAAGTGACTTGAATATATCTGTGATCCTTAGATTCTCTAAACTAAGAGGGCTCTTGGGCAATTTACTGCCTTCTCACAATTCAAAAATTCTATGATTTCATTAGCGTTGCATTCTACTCTCAGGTGTGTCTCATCATGAGAATTAATGATACCCACATGAACCTCAAGACTCTTACACGCCTTCCTCACATCTTTGAGCCAAACATATCTAAACTATCCCATTCTTTTCATATTTCATGTCATAAATATCCATTTTTTTAAAAGAGAGAGTGAGAGTAAGAGAGAGTGAGTGAGTGAGTGAGAGAGAGAGAGAGAGAGAGAGAGAGAATTTTTTAATATTTATTTTTTAGTTTTCGGCGGACACAACATCTTTGTTTGTATGTGGTGCTGAGGATCGAAACCAGGCCGCATGCCAGGCGAGTGCACTACCGCTTGAGCCACATCCCCAGCCCCATAAATATCCATTTTAAATCATAGAATTTCAAATTTACATGTTTGTGAGATAAAAATTTTGAGGTACTAGAAAGAATGGCTCCCCAAAGATATCCCCATGTTCCAATTTCTGAACTTAGAAATATGCTCCTTAAATTTAAAACAGAGACTTTGCAGATGTCATTAAATTTAAGGACCTTGTGATGGGGGTAGAATGCCATGGATTACAAAGGTAAGCCCAATCCAAGGAGTCCTTAAAAGAAGATAACCTTCCTGGAGTGTGGTCAGAAAGAGAGGTAATGATGGAAGAAGGGTCAAAAAAGGATGCTATTACTTTAAGCATGATGGAAGATAGCCCATGGGCTAAGAAATGTGGCCTGCACTAGTCCAAAAGAAACAAAGAAATGGATTCTCCCCAAGAGCCTACAGAAAGCAGCTCAGTCCTGCTGGACAATCTGATTTTAGCCCATTAAGACTCAAAGTCTCATAATAGATGTGTGGTCATGAGTGGTCTACAAGAACTGTAAGATAATAAATCTGAGCCGAGCATGGCAGCACACACCTGTAATTCCAGCTATTCTAGAGGCGAAGGCAGGAGGATAGCAAGTTTGAGACCAGCCTAAACAACTTAGCAAGACCCTGCTCAAAATAAAAGAATAAAAAGAACTGAATGTAGCTCAGTGATAGAGTTTGCGGAGCAAGCTTGGGGATCCAGAGTTCAACCCCCAGTTCTTTGAAAAACATATAATTAATAACAATAAAAAATTTATATGGTTGTAAGTCACTACATTTGTAGCAATGTTAGAATGGCAATATAAAACTAATAGAGGAAATTCTGAAGAGAGTATGTCAGTAAATGCAGACTTTAAATTTTTACAGAAAAAATGTACTTCTCTATCATTTAAGTAAAAACTGAATTTTGTACCTCAAACTTAATATAAACACAAGAGTTTATTAGTTACAAAGCCCTTGATTTAATTATTAGTATATGCTTGTGAACACAAGTAATTTTGTTAATAAAATTACTTACATACCTAATTGTTCAATTATACTTGAAACCATCCCAAGAGGTTTTAATTCAATATCTTCAGGCAGAATAATAGTGAGTTCTTCAACAGAAGGCAGCTCCTATAATAATATTTAAAGAGAGCATTAATCTTACTCCAACTTCAACAACTTAAACATTTTCCATTTAAAATGTTATACACATTTCTGAAGATGTAATATTAAGCACTTAAAACATCTCTATTGTGTTATCCTTTTTACTGGCTGCATGGACTTCTGATAGCACTTCTCCCATTTAAGTGACAAAGTATCTCCACAGGTCTACAATATACTCTCTACATCCAATCCGGTTAGAGTATAGAAATAAATATTCCAGACTTTCTCCAATCACATTTCAACAAGAGACACACAAACAAAGCCATTATCATTAAGGACCCCCGAGACATTCCATTAGAAGAGAAATAACTCTACTAGCAACTATAATTGCTCCAAAAAGAGTTCTCTCTGAGTTATCTTATCAACTTGATTAATTAACCTAGTGGTGACTAAACAGCAGACTATACAGCAGTCTTTTGGGGGCTGTATGGAGAAGAGGTGAACATCTGGCCTCTTCAGGAAAAAAGCAATGAAAACTGTCAGGCAAACACAGAATTCCTGGAAACAGAATGTAGCCTGAGAAAGCTGTGAAAGTGTTACCTGGTATTTTCTCTAAATTACAAAATAAATTTCTTATTTTTAAAAAATAAAATAAATTTAAAAAATTTCTCTTCTTTGATAAGCTAAAACCTACAAAAATTCAGTTGCTAATCGAATAGAGATGAAGTTGAAGAGAAATCTACAAATAAAACTGACATTAGCCATTAAATTTAAAAAACAGAGCTTTTTGGTCTTGACCCTTGCCAAATTATATTAACTCTTGGAAGTTGTTCCCAAAGAAGTCTTGTTTGTTTGTTTTTTGGGGTATCAGGGATTGAACTCAGAGACACTCAACCACTGAGCCACATCCCCAGCCCTGTTTGATATTTTATTTTGAGATAAGGGTACAAAAACACTTCAGAGACAAGTAAATAAAACCAGCTTTGTACAATTTCAAGTTGCGAGTTTGCCTTTGAAAGTCCTAGTAAGTCAAGTAGTATGTATCTGCTTTGAAAACGGCAGATATTTTGGGAACTGAATTAAAGGAAAACAGATCTATTTTACTATAAATGAGCATGCTAGGAGAGGAGAAGTAGAGAAAAATATTCCAAGTTCCATCAATAGGAATTCAATCAAGAGAGATACTTTCAAGGAGATTTTTGGCAGATCCAAACATATAAAGCTTTAGAAGATGCAGAGGGTTCAAATCTCTCTGCAAGATTCGCTTGGATTACCACATCAGATAGGAATGAAAAAAAGACCTAAACCCTACCTTTTCAAAAATAAAATTAAAAAGGCAGATCTTCCAAGGAACATTAACTACCTAGGATGTATGCATGGATACCTCTGGTTTGCAGCAGCAAATATTACTATAATTATAGATTAACACGTGGCTCCCTGATAACACAGCAGCTTCCCCTGGTACAATGTCAAGTAAATCTCTCAGCCATATAATCTCCTTTAATGGAAATAAAACTCACTTTGCTTTTCCATGTATCAGAAAAGAAGGTATATATGTGACAGAGAAGAGAACCACAGATACAATAATAAGAAAAACTGGCCAGAACACATACGGAGGGGCACTATGATTTTGACATTGCAGAGATGATGAGGGAACCCTGGGATAGAAAGACCTTCATTATTTAATAAGCAAAAAACCAAGTATGCTCAAAATGAGATAAGAAAGCTATCTCCCTAATGAAGGTCAGGGAGATTAAAGTATTTACCTAGATTACCCTACTAGCCTTGTGAAAAGAAGGATAAATGAGTGGAAAAGTCCCCTTTTAGTAAAATAAAAGGGGACTTAATATACAATTCTAGACACTTAACTACATTTGTAAATTTAATTAATTAAAATTCAGTCTCCAGTCACATTTGCCACATTTAAAGTGTTCAATAGCGGTAGTATTAATATAATAGAACATGGACATAAAACATTTCCATCTCTGCAGAAAGATCTATTAGCACTGCTACACACTCTCACACAACAAGAATCCTTCATTACAAAACATGTAGCAAAGTATCAACAGCATCAATATATTTCCTGCCATTAATACAGGTATAATTTTAAGATAACACTATAACAGCATGTATCCTAAGTCTTAATGCGATTCTAAATACTCCATTTGGGAAATAAAGATTTGTGATAAATCTGCATTATTATCTTGTTTTTGAAAATTAAAATACAACTAAACACTTGTCTTACATGTTCATTATCTGCAATTAGAATAAATGTTAATACTATCATTTAAAATTAGTATAAGTTGTTTACTGGCTCAATGTCAAAGAACAGTAAAAAATTTTTTCTGGACATAATCATCCACTACTTTTACATGTAATAACAAAAAGTAGTCATGGAAAGGAAGAAAAATATTCCATTGACATTGTCAACAAAAAGAAAAGACACATGGAAATAAAAATTGCCAGACATACCACATCACTTGGTAACTGAAATACCAAAATTATACATACTAAAGAAATTCATTTATTTCCTACACAGTCCAAATCAAAAGGTATTTTAAGAGGCAATCTAATCCACACAAATAAAATTTAAGAAAGCTGACATTAGATGATAAATGCATCCTTCATCTTGACAAAATATGCTACATTATTGTTATTCAAAAACTAAATAATCAGAAAGTTCAAGCGAACAGAATCCAATGTTGGTATAAACATTGCTAATAAAACCATGGAAATCTTTAGTATTATTCCCTATGAATCTGCTCCTCCCAACTGCTGTGTCCTCAGGCAAGTGACTTAATTTCTGATACCAGTTTTCTTATCCAAAAATAATGAAGAAATTCAGTAAAAGTTCTACATAGTACAAATGCTGATACAATTTTTAAAATGTTGAAGTGCAGGAATAGAAAAGACAGTACAATTAATAAAGAAATTATATACCAGACTTGAACAAAATAATTACTATAATCCTGTGATAAGACATCATAACTATGGCAGCCAAAAAAAAAAAAAAGCAAAATCTTAAACCACACTTTTGAAACATACATGAAAGCAATCATTGTCTGTGTCGTAAGAATATTATTAAATTCTCATTCTCTAAATATTTGTATGAGCTACAAGATTACTCTGTGAAGTAAAATATTCAAATAAGTAGTATACAACATTAAAAATCCATCCTATTGAAAAGTAAATTATAGACATGCCAGTCAAAAATGAGTATCTAAAACTTCCAGCACAAAAATGGAAGGAGCTATTATGTACAAAAAGGCCCTCTAGAAAATGACATTCATGCTTTATAATTTGGCCTTGACTTCCCTAGCTCTTCTGAAGGCTTACCAATTGGGCGGGGAGTGGGGGGGGGAATCAGTAATTTGGGTATCTTCTAAAGCAAAATTATCTAAAGAACATGAATTTAGATTTTTACTCATGAAAGCAGAATAAAGGCAGCACAGGGTGGTGTGTAAAGGAATCAAACATTCGAAATGGAAACTAATTCTTTTTGGTATTCATTTGGGAAGAATTGAGAAAAGTGGGGAAGATAGAATAAAATTATTTGACCACTTTTTCTCCTATTACCCAAGAATAGAGGACATGCACATGGCAGCCAATTACCTGATGCTACTGGGTGAGCCTTCACTTTTCAGATATGGTTGGAAAGTAGGATCCCATCCCTGGAGTATTGAGAGCCATGATTGGATTTTTTCCCTATAGCTGGTAAGACATATTGGAAAAAAGAATGGATTAGGTCTGTATACTTTGTGCAAAGTCTGACCACATTTTATATTTAATTTCTAACTAATCAACTTCTCCAGGGAAGAGTAATTTTACAAGTTTCCATGGATTGCAGCTATTTTTGTAGCTATCACCAACAGCATTAATTTTGCCCTCATTTATTACCCTATTGTTTCTGACACTAACTGTAAGCTGGTCCATTAAATATTATCACCTAAAAAATTAAAATCAACAATTCTTTGAAACGTCTTTATATTTTTCATTTAATGAATGTTTCTACCCTGTTCTTCTCCAAAATTACAGTCATAGAAACAAAGTTTATAAAAATATCTTCAAAAAGCTGAAATAAAATTATAGTCCATTTCAATAAGAAAAAAAATCCAACTGTAAATGTAACTCAAAGTCTATCTTTTATGTTAAATGAGGAGTCTATATTTCATGAACTACAAAATTCCATAGTCCAAATTTCTTAAAAAGTTGAAAGATGAAAAAAGTGCTTGTTTAGAACTAAAAACATTAATTGTATGGATGATAAATGAATGAACAATAAACATTTCCTGGCTCCTACAATGTTAAATGACATTGAGAATAAAACTGTCATGTAACACACTTGTTCTTTTCCTTTTAAGTCCACATGCTCTTCATTGTCACTTTCCCAACCACAGCCATCTTTCAATCTCGCTCGTGCCTTCCTTAATCACTGCAATGCAAATCATCTCCCCTTCCACTCGATCCTATGGCTTCTTCCACCCTTCTGACATTCTGCATTAATTCTGATGTTACTTTTCTCTCAGCCTAATTATGGAGGCTCACCCTTCAGCTACATTCTCTTTTAATTTACATTTGTCTTTATCCAGTACAGTAATCAGGAGAACTCACTTATTAAAATCTACTGGGGAATGGAGGAATCTAAAATATAGAATGTTTTTGTATAGTAATAATCCCATATATATATACACAGGACATATGTGGACATTACAGTGAATAAAACAGTATGTATTTGAGACTTAAAGACATCATCCATGCTTCCCATAAACTCTTTAGAAAGTGTTGTACAGTGAAAAACAAAATTTCATTTTGTAAAAAATATGAATATTGAAGAGCACAAAGTATTAATAAAAATAATCTCAAGTATATATGCAATTCCCTAAATTTCAGGCATTTTGAGAAGAATATTAGTAAGTACCATCACATTCTAGGATAGAATGTAATTCCTAATTTATCTACAGTCATAAAAGGCTTAAATTTAAAGAGGCCTGCATTTAGGACAAAACTTACAAAAAAGATATCTGTCCTTGAAAACAACACATTCAATTAATCTTAGGTGCAGAGCGAAGTATAATACAATTTCATAGCACTGGGAGATCAAGTAGATACAAAATATTTCAATAAAACTTCTAACCACTAAAGGTGACCCAAGACATTTCCTAATATCCATTATCAGGATGTTTTAGAATGTGTGTCTATGCTGCAACATCAGCAAGAGAATATATTATATAAATAATATAAATTATATAAATATTATATAAATATATAAAGTGTACTTTTTTGATATAACACAAGTAATCTATAAATTACGAAAATTTCTCACAAATTGTTTATCAGGATTAAATTTTTTCTTCACTATACTACATTATATGCATAAATATACATTATCATCATTATTATACTTTTTTTAAACTCCCATAAGCACTGGGTCATAATTTAAAAATATTAGGTACAGGCTTTCAGGTTTTCAGAAAAGAAAACAATAGACATGATTTATAAAATTCATTTCTGGTTAAGACTTCAGAAAAACACAAACCCAAATGCTTTTATGATTCAAAATTTTCAGTTACATTTGATATATTCGAATAAAGAGTTCAGGGCATAAACTGCTGAGAAAAACTTGAAAAAGGACCTAATTTTCTAATTCATCGAAACATCAATAAATTCTATGTAGTTTAATATAAGTCCAAAGCTATAGTATGTGCTGCCTTACAGTTACACTCTGAGTTATATATAAACCTCAGTATTAAAGAAAAGTTTATGTTTAAAAGAATAGTTCCACTTGGTTAAATTAAGACCACATTACATAATTGAAGAAAGCCAATTAAGACTCCATTTTCAAGGTCTTTGTGGCTCACCAATCCCTCTCGAAGCCCCCATTCCCCTCACCACTTCCTCACACTGTTTTTTTTTTTTTTTTGGTTTGTTTGTTTTAATTGGGTTAAAATCAGATCTTCTTGAGAAGACAAGATTTAGTTATAAGCCAATACAGGGTGAGGGATTATATTTTGTAAGGTTTAATCTTAAAAGAACAATCTTAATGTTACTTCACTGTAACTCCTATGCATCTATAACTAAAGATCTGCACAATTAGTACAGAATAAGTACCTCTTATCTGAAATGACTGGTACCAGAAACGTTTCAGATTTTTCTTTTCAGATTTTGGAATATTTGCATATACATAATAAGATATCTTGGGGATGGAAACTAAGCCCAAAGATTAAATTCATTTGTTTCATTCATACCTTATACAAGTAGCTTAAAGAAAATTTTCTACAATATTTTCAATAATTTTTTATGTGAACCAAAGTTTCATGATGTAGAATTTTGACATTCAAAGTCTCATTACGGTGGTGTGTCTCGTTGACATTCAAAAAGTCTCAGACTGACTATCTATCTATACCTTCAGATTAAGGATAATTAATTCTAAGTGCAATCAGATTGCTAGACTCTAACTTTCTAAGAATGAAAAAGCTATAAAGAGACAGGCCCTCAAAGGCAATTCCTGCTGGATGAGCAGACTAAACAAAGGTAAAAATGAGGCTCAGAATCTCTAAATAACTACAGAAAAATGCCTAGAACACTGCAGAAAGACATGGCATGAAACAGTTAAATTGGGCATGTCAAAGTTCTAAAGATCCCTGAAGGTCTAACACAAACTCTAAAATTGCTATTAACTATTTGGAGCATTTTAATTCATGTGTACCTTTTTGCAAAAACAACACAGCTAGGAGAGTTCATTAATTTTCTTCAGAATTTCATAAGGTTATTAAATTAATAAGACTGTACAGAGCAAGCAGTTCCCAAAAGCCAAGTGCTACATCAAGAGTTCTGAACACAACAGCACACACTACACTAAGTAGAGCTAGTTGTAGCAAAAGAGGGGGTTGTCATTTTTCTATAAGAACAAATCTAAGTTGGAGCTGGGGATGTGGCTCAAGCAGTAGCGCGCTCGCCTGGCATGCGAGGGGCGCTGGGTTTGATCCTCAGCACCACATAAAAATAATATAAAGATGTTGTGTCCACCGAAAACTGAAAAATAAATATTAAAAAACTCTCTCTCTCTAAAAAAAAAAAAAAAAAAAAAAAAAGAACAAGACTGTACCAAAGCAGGCAAAGAAATATAAAACTAATCAGTTCATGGGAAAGTTGAAAGTAAAATATGCCTTATTTAGAACCAGGGACACTGAAATCCAGAAAGCTAATATTTAAAAAAGTCAACCTACAGGTAAATAGAGGAAGCTAGTCAATAAAAAAAGAATAACACTGAACAAGAATGTTCAAGAGGCACTGAAAAGAAACAGTGTGGCCAGCACTAATAGCTGCCTTAGTTCTCAGGGCTTTCTCACCCAAGCAAGTTTGCTATAATTCTGTTCTCTTGAAGTAATTTGAGTCTCTTCCTCACAAATATAAACACTTCTAAGTATTCCCTCTATAGAGTAGAACTAATATGCTGACTACCCAGCCTCCCCTAAAATGGATATAAGCCTTCCTTTTCCTGCAAGAAAGAAACCATTCCATATGGTTTATATGGGGCTGGTAACACGCACCCCCATCCTCCTCAAAATACACACATTCACACTCCCTTCCTGTCAACTGGCTCTTAGACATTCCCACCCTCTCTCACTAGCCCATGAGTTCTTTTAATCTTCTACTCTCCTACACAGGCTCTCACACTCTCTCCTACACACTAACCTACACAAACAGATTTATACTCAAGCAATCCAAATACTCATTCCACTGGCCTCAATGCTTTGTTCAAGGCTGTGTACCAGGTCCCCAGGAAGCTAGAAAAAGTCCTCCCCATGACTTGCCCATACTAACATTACTGGCCAAACTGCCAGCCCTACAGAGCAACACAAAAAGAGGTAGTAGAGTCCTAAAGACCCGGAGAACTTGTAGGCATACATACCACTCTTGGTATTCAGGACCAAATCATCTTCCCTTGAACTTTGGAGCTGAAATCCTGAAGGAGTCCTGATACATCCTTTCAGGGCTCTAAGTCAGAGATTTTACAGCATCCCCAGGAACTCATCATACCTCTACCTGTTTCTACCAGCAGAAAGGACTAAAAACTTTGTAGTAAGTGTCCTTCCTAATTTTTGTAAACATAAAGTGAACAGCTAATTAAGAATTCAACATTAAAAACTGAAATTGTTTCTTCCATCCTACTCAAAAATTCTCTGAGTAGCACAAAAAGGAACAGACCAGTTCACTGTTCCAAGTTTTAAAATCTAACAAAACATTTTCTTAGTAAAGATGGAATTTTCTGATGAGGTGAACACATACACACAAAATTCAACAGCACTCTGGCAATTAAAATTTGTCTGTGTCAGAATCCATTAGATATTACAAAAGTAGAAATTGAACTAGTCTTATTTACAGCCTCTGGCACATGGCAGGTGTGCTACAATTTCTTAAACGAATGAATAAATGTACCATGCCTATTCAGACACTCATTCTATAATCATTGCTAGTTTTCACTTAGATACCATTATCTGTAAAGCACTTTACTGGGCACAGAGAAAATGCAAAGATCAGATAGGAACTCAGTTCTCAAAGAACATCCAAGCATTTTTGTGGCCAAAGACCCTTTATGAATTTTGGTGAAAATATGAGCACTCTATTCAGCAAAATACCTAAGCAGATACAATAAGATTCTGCATAAATTTCTAGGGATTCCCACAGTAAGAATTCCAGACTTAGTAAGATAAATAACACAATGATATAAATGCATTCACAAAACACTGTGGTTTTTTATTTGTTGGTTTTTATACACTAAGAAGAAACTTCTGAAAGATGAAACAATACTTTCAGAAATTAATTATATATATTGGGAGCCTTTGTATAAGAAATATTAACATGCTGTGTAGCATGAAAATATAAACAACTATATACAAATGCAAAGGTTTTCTTTCAACACATAAAGCATAAATGAGATTAGAAACTTTTTATTATGAGAAAAAAATAACAAATATTGGCAGAATCCAGTCATGAGAAAGACACTGACTGCCCTTAGGTTTTACAGATTTTGAAGTCTAACATTTTAACTATCTTTATTGATTTAAGTATTACATAATTAGGACTAGTGATCGTTAAACTTTTAAATAGCATCAATAATAACTAAAATATATGGATGAATGGAGTAAGAACATGCAGCAATGTAATCTACATTTTGAAATTCTGAGACAAAATTTCCTCTTGGGTTACAGGTTTCAATTAGATGACTAGCATACTCCTCAGCTTAAGAGGACATAATCTCACAAGACTAACTTTGCTACCCAAATTTATCAAGCACCAAAATATACCATTCTACAATAAACAAGTTTTCTCCAACTATAATTTTAGAAAAACTTTACAATTTCAAGTGAATAGAAATCCTAAAAAGCTTAAGCTATTGAATTTTGTTACTACCTCTCTAAAAACAACCAATTAAAAATAAGTCAATTACTATTAAGAAAAATTTTCAGACTTGTGGACAAAACACAAAGCAAGCCTATAAACCTGCATCAGTAATATCTTTTTTTTCCTTTTTCTTAAGTGCTTTACCACTGAGTTATACTCTCACACAGAAATATTTTCCAAAGCAAGTGAAAAAAACAAAAATCACCAGAATGAAGTTGATGTCCCAACAAGATCAATCGACAAATGTCAAAGTTAGAAGCAACCTCAGAAATTACCCAAACCATTCCTCTCTTTTATGTATGAAAGTCAAAGCACAGCAAAAGCATGCTCAATAAATTAAGAACAGATTCCAAATTTATGGAAAGACATAGGCCAAACATAACCAATAAGTACCACAATAATGTATTTTAAAACATGAAAATTAAATTTAACAAATCTAAGTACTTACATTAAGAAGTAATTCATCTTTTGTTTTAAGAGGAAAATTCTTATTTTCTTTTTCAACTTGTAAATCATCATCTCCATCAGACAACACTGGAGGAAGTGATATATGAGAGGAAGAGGAAGATGAGGAAGAAGATGATGAGGAAGAAGAGGAGCTTGAACTATCTGAATCTGTTTCACTGTTGGAGGAAAAAAGTTGAAAATTTGGTCAGTATTATTATAATGCTATCAAAATAAGATCATTCATCTACTTTACCCTGCTTACTACTCCAAGTCTAATTCAAAAGCTAGCATTTCAAAGCTTATTATAATATTGAGAAAGTAGTCTTTATTCTACCAATAACATTTTTCAAAATCTCTGCTATAATTCAGACCCTTACTGCCATAGTTTCACACATTACATGTCTATCTAAGTATAGTTAAGTAAGTGACAATCACTGCCTAAAGGATGCTCTAGGCAGGGCACCTTTCTTGGTCACCAATGAAAGAGTTTCTTCTGTCTTTAGACTACTGGGGAACCTTGTCTTCTCTAGTAGCTGAACAGCCTCTCCCCACAGTAATCACCCCTTCATCCCACTGCTGTTATTTTCAGAATTTTATGACCCTCCATCCTAATCAGTTCATGCTCTTGCTTTTAAAGAATTGTTTGAGTACACATTAGATAAGAGGGAATTATTAATTTTATATAAACAGTATTTATGTATTAGTATTTTATAACAGTATTGTGTTTATGAGAATGTTTCCCTTCAAGAACATATGCTGAAATATTTAAAATTTCATGATGTCTATTAATAAAATTAAAATGGTTCAGCGACATATTAAACAGTTAAAAAATGTTAAAACTGTTAAATCAATGTGATGGCTATACTGGTTTGTACTAGTGTATGTGTGTGTGTTTGTGTATACACGCATGCACACATGTGCGTATTGGGGATTAAACCCATGGGCACTGAATTGCATCCCCATCCCTTATTTTGAGACAGGGTGTTAAGTGGCCCATACTGGCCTTGAACTTGTGATCAGGACTCCTGTCTCAGTCTTCCAAGTAGCTGGGATTATAATAAGCATGCATCATTGTGCCCAGCTTCTTCCACTTTTCACTAGAAAATATTCAATCATATAGAAAAGTTTTAAAAGTTTTTCTATAAATTTATACTACATCCAAGATAAAAATCAATGACATTCTTCACAGGACAGTCCTAAAATTCATTTAGAAGAATAAAAGACAGAGAATAGCCAAAATCAATTCTAAGCCAAAAAAGCAATACTAGAGACATCATAATACCTGACTTCAAATTACACTGCAGAGCTATGGTAACAAATGCATGATACTGGCATGAAAAGACACATAGACCAATGGTACAGAATAGAAGACACACAGACCATTGGTACAGAATAAAAGACACAGAAACAAACCCACATATCTATAGCCCAAAACATACACTGGGAGAAAAGATAGTCTTTTTTCCAAATGATGCTGGGAAAACTGATTATCCATATGTTAAAAAAAAAAAAAAGGAAGAAAGAGAGAAAAAAGAAACTATATCCTTATCTCTCACCCTGCATAAAAATCAACTCAAAATGGATCAGACCTTGGAATTAGACCAGAAACTAAGCAACTCCTAGAAGAAAACACAGGGTCAACACTCCAGCAAATAGGCACAGGCAACTATTTTCTCAATAGGACCCCTAAAGCACAGGAAATAATTCCAAGGATTAATAAGTGGATGGCATCAAATTTAAAAGCTTCTGCACACCAAGGGACACAATTAGGAATATGATGAGAGAACCTACAGAATTGGAGAATCTTTGTACTCTTCTGACAGAGGATTAATATCTAGAATACATAAAAGAACTCAAAAAACTTCACAGCAAAAAAGCAAATAACCCAATTAATAAATGACAGACTCAAATTAAAAACAGACAGTTCTCAAAAGAAATACAAATGGCCAACAAACACATGAAAAAATGTTCAACATTGTTAGTCATTAGGGAAATGCAAATCAAAATGAGATTTTATCTTATACTAGTCAGAATGACAGTCACCAAGTACACAAATAATAATAAATGCTGGAGAAGATATGGAGAAAAAAGGAACACTTTCACACTGTTGGTGTGATACTGTAAAATAGTAAGAACATCAGTATGGAGGTTCCTCAAAAGACTAGGCATGGAACCACCATATGACCCAGTTGTAACATTTCTCATTATTTATCCTTAAGAATTAAAGTCATGATACTAGCATAATACATGCATATCCATGTTTATAGCAGCATAATTTACAACAATGAACCTATGGAACCAGCCTAGGTGTCCATCAACGATGAAAAGATAAAGAAAATGTTGTATATATACACAATGGAGTTTTATTCAGCCATAATGAAAAATGAAATTATGTCACTTGCAGGAAAATGGATAGAACTAAAGACCATTATGATAAGCGAAATAAATCAAAACTCAGAAGGTTGTTTTCTCTCATATGTGGAAGCTAGGGAGGAAAAAAGGGGGGGGGGGTCTCATGAAAAGGAAAGGGAAATCAGTAGAGGAAAAGGACCAAGGGGTGGGAGATGGGGTGGGATGGGCAAAGTGCTTGGGAGTGATATTGGACAAATTATAGTGTATTAAGTGCATGTACAAATATAAAAAACAAATTCTATCAGTATGTACAACTATAACGTGCCGAAAAAAATGTAGGAAAAAAAGAGTTTTCCTGTAAATTTATACTGTATCCAATATGAAAGTCATGCTCCTTAGCATGAGATCTTAAGAGTCCTAACAATCAGGTTCCTGGTAAACTCCACAATCCCATCTCCCACCACTTCTCACATGGATCCCATATCTAGCAGACAAACTCATATAACTTTCCATAGCCCCTAACATTTTCACAACACACCACTGCTTGCGCTATTTTCCTTGCCTTCAATGCCCTCAACCCAGAAAAATTCTCTTTATAGTTTCAACTCAAATATTATCTCCTATGAAACCACCCCCCACTCACCAAATTTACTTCCTTCCCTAATTCCCACAGCATTTCTCAAATTGCTACTATATTCTATTAGTACTCTAACATAATTCTTTGAAAACCATGGTTACCAAAAATCTGATACCAAAGACCATGTATATGTATCAAAACGTTGTGTAACTAGTACAGGGCAATGGTTGTACCACTTTTCATTTTTTCGAATATTTGGTACCCCCTTCCATCATCCGCATATGGTCAGTAGTGTCCCAACATTGTTCTGTTTATTGGAATGACATACCCCAATGCCTGCCTTCAAAACTTATCCCCAGATCATCTAGCACTTACTTCACTTTCCTAATGACATGGACTCTGAAATCCCATAAGATGATTATAATCTTAGAACTGCCAAAATATCCTGCCTTGTTTATAAATGGCTTACTTGCCCCTCTCCTCTATACATTCCTTCTTGCTGTATTTAAATTCTTCATCCTTCTCCATACCCTCTACTCTTAGTTGATATTTCCCTGAAAAACTCCTTTTCTCCTACCCTCAGTACCTGCCCCCACCCCCAATTATTCAAATATTTGTAGGTAATGTTCAATGAGGTTTTATAACTATCCATATACTGGAGCCTTCTCTCACAAGACACAGGGAGGGATTGTTTTATAAAACGTACTTAGAGCATAAAAAACTAAATAACTGTTTAGCTAATTTCATGAACTTGTACTCCCTACAAGGATTCTAAAATTAACATAATTTTCAAGAACTAATTTCAGAACACACAAAATAATACTTATGATCCTCATTTCATCTGATAAAAAAAAAACCCAGGACTACACTCTAGACTTAACACACACAATAATAATAATAATAATAATAATTAAACCTGTAACTCAGATCTGACCCAAAAAGTTATAGCCACAAGGTTATATACCAAACTGAATAGTTAAAAGACAAAAAAAAACAGACTTCTAATTGAAAATTACACTCCCCATACATAAAACCACTTTGGCTATCAAATTTAGAAAAGTAGCGCGCAGGTCAAGAGCTGAGCAATGGGCAGGGCAAACTCGAGGTCAACACGTGCGCCCCGAGTACCAGCTACCTCACCGCCCTCTAAGCCCACCCCGGCACCTTCTGGGCTCATAGGTGCCGCTCCCCGCGCGGGTCACACAAGCCCCATCCCCGCAGCTCCGGGGCTCCTAGGCACTCCACCTGTCAGAGTCCGAGTCTGAGTCCGAGTCCGAGTCCGAGGTCTCCGAGGAGAGCGGGGTCTGCGCCAGCCCGGTGGCGGCCGGGCCGGTGATGCAGGCCCCGCAGCGCTGCAGTTCTGGCGCAGGATGGGGCGCAGGGCTCGGGGAAGGCGGTGGTGGTTGCTCCCCTGCAGGCTTAGCCTCCACGGCCTGCTCACGGTCTGGGCAACCCTCTTCCGACTGCAGCGGCGGCTGCGACCCCGGCGCGGGAACTGAGTCCGGAGACGGCACCTCTGCACCATGGTCAACCCCAGAGCCAGGGCCACTGAATTTCAGGGTTTCCAGCTGAGCGGCGGCAGCCTCCACTACCTCCATCGCGCCGCGCCAGACACCCCGAGACGGCCTCACGTTCCGGACCTGCAGACAATCTCTCGTCTCCCGCCAAAGAAAGTAAAACTGCCTCTGCAAGGGACACAACCGCGCCAGAAGCAAAGGTCCCGCGTTCCACAGGTACCTACACGCGGAAAAGCCTGAAGACACGCCCCCGGCGTTATTCAGCGGCACTTCCGGGAGAGCGTGTGACGTAACGTGACGCGACGGCGCGACGCCGTTCACTGGAGGCGGGCCTACCCGGGCCCTTGGGAAGTAGGCCACAATCCATAGATTGCTTTGCTGCTTGAGAACTTTCTCACACAGAAAGGCCGGAAAGCAGGGCTTTCTGTACCTGAGTCTCGGCGACTTTTACTCGGAGCGCCGATTTGAAGCCTGATTAGGGAACCGGAGAGGTGCCCGAGGAGTGCTAGGTTCTGTACAGCAGAATCTTAAGCCAGTTGTTTTTGTATTTGTCCCCTCCGCTCCCACCCCAACTCCGGGAACTAGGCATTGAACCCAGGCACATTAAGCCACATCCTCAGCCTTTTTTGAGATGGGATTTCGCCAGATTTTTAGGGCCTCGCTAAATTGCTGAGTCTGGCCTCGAACTTTAGACCCTCCTGCTTCAGCCTCCCCAGTCGCTTTGATTACAGGTGGTTGTCATCCGATTTAAAGCAGGACATCTTGAAAAGATCTTTCTGGTAATTTAATTGAAGTTACATTGGTGGACCTACAGATAGAAAGCACATTTATCAAACATCTCAAAAAAAAAAAAAAAGCTGGGCACAGTGATGCATGCTTGTAATGGCAGGGACTGAGGCCAGAGGATCACAATTTCAAATTCAGCCTCAACAATTTAGCAAGACCCTGTCTCAAAAAACAAAACAAAACAAGGACTGGGGATGTGGGTTAGCGTTGAAGTGTCCCTGGATTCAACTCCCAGTGCTGGAAACAAACAAAACACCAAACCTACAATTATTCTGTTTCTCTTTTCCCCAAAGTACTCCCAAAATAGCAGTAACAGCGAGATTTTGCTGCTTGTTGATGTTATGTGGATGTCCGTATTGTAGTTGACTCTGCTTCTTAGAAAGGATGGGATGACACTAACCTGGGAAACCTTTGGGTTCCTGCGTTTCCTGAGAAACCTTTAGTTTGGATTGTAAAGAGGGTAAGAAAAAGTTCTTATCACAGAGGAAGATAGACTTCTCTGTTTTCCTATTAGATCTTCATTGTGATGTATCAGTTACTCGAGTAATAATCATTAGTACAATTTGCTAAGCATGCATATATTATCAAGGACTGTGCTAAAGATTTTATAAATTATTCATTGAGAATTTATTATAGACTGTCCATAGAAGTAGAACCTTCACACAAATTTAAGGCAAATATAATCAATCACTCTTCAGTATCCAAGGGGAATTGGTCCTCAGGGCCTGCAAATATCAAATTTTAAGGATTTTGATGTAATAGTTAAAATGATCTAATAGTTATATATAATCTATACACATCTTCCTGTCTGTATACTTTAAATATCTTTAGATTATTTAGATATTTACAATATCAAAAACAATATAAACAGTATGTAAATTATTATAGTATGTTTTAGGAAATCACAATAAACATTCAGTGTTAACAAAATTTTAAGAACTATTTTCAAACATTTGTTGGTTGAATTTATGGATGTGGAACCTACTGACCGGGTCAACGGAAGAAGGCACATAATCATAATTTTAAGGAATTTACAATCTAGTAGAAGTAAAAAAAAAAAAAAGGTAAATGTATAGGAGATAACCAGAAAGAAATTTAATAGAAGATGCAAGTGTTGCAGCAAAGGGAAGGTAAGTAGGGCTGGTGAGCTGTATCATGGAAATCCTCCCAAATGAAACAGGAATTTAAATTTGAAATAGTATGTAGTATTGTAGTGATTTAGTAGAGCTCCGAGTTTCCAGACAAATATAACTTCAAATATCACTTTTACCATTGTGTTCAACTTTCAGTTTTACTACTGTTGTGTTGGTCTAACTCACCTTGAGAAGTAAGTTATATACCTAAACATCAACTTCCTTATCTGTAAAATGGAAAAGAAAAATACTATCTCATTTAGTTCTTGGCATATTAAATAAGTTTGTATAGAGGAGAATGGCATGTTGTGTAATTTTAGTGTGAAAAATTGAACAATGCATGCATAAACCTATGAATCAAATAACATATCATTGACAATGACAAAATGTCTGTTGCATTTTTCCAGGAATTAATTGGTAGAAGTCTGAATCAAGGGATGACCCCATGAAATAGAGGAAAGGTAATTCTAAACATCTGGACTGAATCAGCACACTCTAAAATTCCTGACCAATGGAACTAGAAAGTTGATATTACCAATAAAAATGAAGTAGTTGGAAAGAGATAATAAGCACATGAATTTGAGTGAAAACTGGTCAGTCATTTGTGCCATTGGGCATTGAAGAACAGATTGGAATTCAATAGAAGGGTTACGACCAGAAACAAATTCAAGAATAATTCAAGTACTATGAACTGTGAATACAGGCAGGTAAATAAATCATAGTCTTGCCCTTAAGAAACTAAGCTGGTTTCTTGGTTTTATAAAAAAACAAGTTGGAAAACAAGTAATATGTACTATATTAGAGGCATAAAGAGAATGTACATATGGGAAAAATGAAAAAGAAGGTACTGGGAAAGCTAGGGAAGGTATTGAATACTACTAGAGATATGTCATGTCTGTAAGATTAATGACAGTCATAAAGCCACTTAAGCATCTAACAGGCCCATAGTACACAACACACAGAAGTATGATTACAATCTTGCCCCAGGGACTTCTAGGAGATAAAGGTACCCCCATACAGATGAAACTTCCATGAACCTTAAGAAAAAGTTTATCCTTAAGCGAATAGCTTAAACTCCCTTTATGAAAGAAATACCTTGTAACTGATATTTTCCAAAATATAGGAATAAGAGGAGAAAAGGAGCACGAAAACCTGAGAGTGGTCATGGTGAAGGACATATGTAAGTTGGTCATCTGACACCCTTATTGTTACCTGGCCCATGCTCCCACTTTCCACCTTGGAAGACCATAATAAACTGTTTGAGAATCACAGCCACTAAGACTCAACTTTGACTCAAATGGAACCAAAGGGAAGAAGGGGCCGCTGGCAAAGTAAACTAGGATCACCCTGTCCTCTACCCCCTGCCTCTGCAGCAGAAGGCTTTACAATGAATGTGATATTTGTGCTGGGACTTTAAAGAGAACCATTAATTTGTTAATCAGAGAAAGTAGGAGAACTTCACACAGGAAAATAAATAGGATCATTTAATTTCTTGCTTCAAACCCTGAATATTTGATAACACTTGAAATAAAATCCAGACTCCCAGCTTTGATTTTCAAAACTCTATCTGAGGTGAAGGCTACTTCCGCTTCTATATTTTACCATCTCGCCCTCCTTTATTGCCACAAATTTCTGGTCTTGATCACCCTTCATCTCACCAAGTTTATTCTTTGCATGTGGCATTTTCACTTAGTTTTTCCTCTCCCCATAATACCATGGCTTATTTACTCTTATCTCAATTTTATTTTATGTCTACTCAAATATAACACTCTAGAGAGAGTTTTCCAGAATATCCAATCTAAGAGTCCTTCAATATCAGTCACCCTCTAAATTATTGCTCATTATTTCCTTTAAATAGTACTTATCTTCAAGTTGTTGTATTTGTTTACATCTTCCTTGTCTCTGTTTTCCCATAAATTAAAGTCTCATGAACCCAGGAATTTTGTCTAAATTCACAGCTATTTCTTCAGCTCTAGAATCATAGTAAATCCTATAAAGGTTTCTGAATAGAAGAATGAAAGAAAGAAAACAAATAATAGATCTTTATGGGACAATTGCAGTAAGGAAGATGCTTCACATATAAAGGTACAGAGAACATTAAGTTTATCTGTTCAATTTAAATTAATATGATTATATAAGGAATGCTACAGTTGCAGATAAAAATTTTTGTTTATGAAATGGGGGGATGGTCTCTGGGTTGCAGAATAAGAATAACTGTACCTATGCCTAGCTTCAAAATAGGTCACTCTTTCACAATGGGTTTTTTTCTAAGTGCCTGAATGTTCCAAAATGTCCTGAATTTACCTCCAGCACTTCAGAGCCTGCCTGTCTACTGCATTATTTCTAACAGCTGCTAAACTTAGCCTGAAGTCTTTAGCCTAAGGCTAAATCTAACAAAACTCATTGAAAGACTGAGGAGCTTACAGGATCACTAAAATTAAAAGAGAATTTACAGTGAATTAAATTTTGAGTTAAAGGCCAGTCACATTTTAAAGTGAACATGTAAAATAGTCTTTAAAGTTCATGAGAGCATACATTTGAGTTTACCAATCTCTGTGTATTCTAAATATTGAAAAATTTTATGAAAAAAGACCCAATAACTTCTTAAAGCCATTTTTTTCACTGTTTTGGAGTGCTTTCGCTACTTAGAAATGCTGTGGCAGATAAGCAGCTTTGAATCATATGGAAATATGATGTAGAATCTTAGGCCTTAACCACTAGACCTTTGACATCAGAATCTGCATTTAATGAGACCTCCCATGTGATGTGCATGCATGCTAAAGTTTAAGAAACTCAGTGGCTGTGTCAGGGAGAGAACATCCCTAGACTAGCATACTGCTTGAAAATAAAATGAAGTAAACCCTTTTGTAAAAGAGTAGTTAAAGTGCTGAGCCACTGAAACTAAGCTGAAGAGATTGAATATCTGTCTATTGATACCTGTAACTTGGACGCCCTATGAGTGAGATACATAAATACATAAATAACATTTGTGTGTGTGTGTGTGTGTGTGTGTGTGTGTGTGCGCGCGCGCATGCATGGTGCATGCATCAGGTACAGTTTTTCTAAGCACTCTGTAAATTTAAGACTTCTTTCCACAAAACTTTAAAGTAGATATAATTATTATCCCCATTTTCCAGTTCAGGAAGTTGAGGCTCAAAGAGGTCAGTTTTGCATTGGTGTGACCAAAAGACCTGACAGGAACAACTTAGAGGAGTAAACATTTTATTTTGGCTCATGGTTTAAGAGGTTCAGCCCATGGTTGGCCGAACCTAGAGCTGTCTGGGCCCAAGGTGAGGCAAATCATCATGGTAGAAGATCATGGTAGAGGAAAGCAGCTCAGGACATGGCAACTAGGGATCAGAGA